TGTTTGCCTATCATCACTAATAGGAAAGAGAAAATACAACATCTGAATTTTGAGCTGAGTGGGCAAAAAAATTGGTTAAGTATTGTTGTATGAGTATACATTAGATTAACGTACAGAGGTTGTATTTGATTCCTGCTGTTGCCATAAAAAATTATCACAAATTTAGTGGCTTAAAGCGACACTACTTTATTATTTTAAAGCTTTTAGGTCAGAAGTTCTAAAATAAAGGTTCTGGCGGGGCTGCATTCCTTCTGGAGGTGCCAGAGGAGAATCTGTTCCCTGGCCTTTTCTAGCTTCTAGAGGCTGCCTGAATTCCTTAGTTTGTGGCCACATCCTCCCTCTTCAAAGCCAGCAATGTAGACTCTTTCAAGCTCTCTCTCTCTCCAATTCTGATCCTCCTGTCTCCCTCTTATAAGGACCCTTGTGATTACACTGGGTCTGCCTGGATAATCTAGGATACTCTCATCTCAAAAGCCCTAAATTAAGTACCCTGAAAAGTCCCTTGTGCCATATAAGGCAAAAGGTTCACAGGTTCTAGAGATTAGGAATGTGGACATCTTTGGTGGACCATTATTCAGCCTACCACACTTACCTTGCAATTGTCACAACGGTAGGTTTTGGTAAACTTTTCAGTATATAATATACAGACTGAATAAGATGCTCTATTTCTTGTTCTGTACTGATATGATGAGGAAGTTCTGAATAATCACAGGTTAGACCAGCCTGGTGAACCTGAAAATAAGACAATTAAGAATTACACTGTAATATTTTATTGTTTTTAAAAGATTCTTTAATCATTAACGGCCTTGCTGACAAGTCTTTTTAAAAATTTTTTATTGATACATAATAAATGTATGTATTTTCAGGGTACATGTGATAATTTAATACATTCATATAATGTATAAAGATCAAATCAGGGTAATTGAGACATTCATCACCTTAAATATGACAAATCTTCTAATATATTTTTATACATTGGGATTCTTTTTTTCCCTTAACAGTTTCCATGTCATAGAAGTTATCTGCTCCCTGAGGTGTTGGTAGAACTGGCCTGTACACCTGTCTGGGCCCGATGACTTTTTTAGGAATAATTGTTTAACTACTTTTACATTTATTTTATGATTATTGGTTCACTTAGTTTCTCTGTCTTTACTTGAGTCGATTTTGATAATTCACATTCTCTAGCAAATTATCCATTTCACCCAGATTCTAAAAAGTTGGTATAAACTGTACATTAATATTCTCATCTCAATTTTTCTTTTAACATACTATTTTACTTACTTCTAAAATACATGCATCCAGTGCATCTAGCACTACATTTAAAGCTTTGAGGGGATACCAGAGAAAGTCTTCCTCCTATCTTATTTAATCAAATGCTTTCTTATGTATCCTTTATACATAACCACAAACTACTGGCATCTACATATGTATTTTAAATGTAAAGGAATGGTGTTTCAGTCTTAACACTAAACTAAATATGTCTGAAAGTTACAAGTGGCTCACAGGCTACCATTCTGCAAACTTTACCATTCTTTTAGAAAACTGGAACTTAAATATGTCATAGTTTTGCCTAGTACATAAGTGCAAACCACGAAAAAACACACTAATCTACTATTTTATTGGAGGCTTTGGATACATATCAAAGATTTAACTGGCAATGACCAGACAATGTGATAAAACGACGACTGCTGCATGTTCATTCTTGCTAAAATGATCAAATCACTTAGTGTTCTATCACTGCAGCAATAGGCACGTCATAACTGATACATAATCTATGACTGAGCCCAACATCCCTTCTCCCAAAAAACACCATACGACCCTCCCCAACAACAAAAAAAATCTAGAGCAATGTAATGATTAAAGCAGACCTGCCTGCAGACACATTCAATGATATCATATGAGCTTAAAACATTTTAAAATGTAAGTTTCTTCTTACCATTCCAAATAATAGCCATTTTAAAAAAGGGTGGGTCTTGGATTAGCTCAGGTTCAAGCAAAATATTCTTTTGCTGGTATTTTTTTATTCTTATACATTCGACATTAATACTAAAACTTCAGTTCAAACAAAGTGGTGTAATTGTATTCCACAGCAAAATAAAACATGAAGAAACAACGTATTGATGTAAGAGAAACACCAGACTAAGAGGCAGAAGACTTGGAGGTCTCAGCTCTCAAATAAAATCTGAAATCTAAAAAAAGTTATTTGAACTTTTTAAGCTCAGCTTTCTCATCTCAAGTACTGAGTCAAATGAGAAAACATAAGCTTTAAAAGCTGTAAAATGATATAAAAAT